GTGCCACTCCTCTGACAGCACTGCACGGAATCCAACAGACAGGGGACACACAGCACTTCTAGCTTTTACTCTAGAGGTAAAGTGTCATCTTTTTCACAGCATTTAGTCTCTATAGTTCACTTTTGTGACTGGTTTTCTTCTTGAACAAACCCAGGTAACACAGTGAGAAAAGAATCCCAGTACATCCAGAGATGCTGCTGCTCCGTGAGCTGAGCAGGGAGGTAGATGCCATGGATGTTCTCTTCAGATGGAGCACGGGAAAGGACCTTGTGCTAATTAACTGGTGCCAAGAGTCTCTCACTGGCACCAAAACACTGCAGGGCATCAGCATGAGATGCAGCACAGGAGCATCGAGACTCGTCCAGCAGCTGCACCTGAACCATGTTTGCTTGGCATCTGGAACAGAAAGGCATCTCCAATTAGCACCTAATTAGCTGCTGTCCAACTCTGGGATGGATGTGCAGTGCAACCCTGCAGCAGTGCAAGTCCTGAACTGGTCTTGTCTGTTTTTCCAGCAAGCAACATCTCTCAGGGGACACTGAAAGGAGTTTCACTCGGTTGGAACTCAAATTCCATCACCTGCACCAGGTTATTTGGTCAAGCCTGGAACAGAGCAGGATCCAGAGGAACATAGCTGGAGGGAAGCTGTGCAGGAGTCAGTCAGCAGCACCTGGTGACTGCAGAACTGTGCACACTCCTTTCTAGTTCAGGTGTTTCTTGTGTGCACACAGAAATCACACAGTGTCCAAAACAGTTTCCCAAAGGAAAGAAACACCGACAGGAATGACACAGAAAATCCCACAGCTGAATTCAGTGCCAAGCAATGAATCATGGAATGCTTTGGGTTGGAAGGGACATAAAACCTCATTCCATCCACCCACATGCCAACCAAAAGGGTGATGTGAACGAAATCTCCTTTTCTTAGGCTTTGCCATCAATTTTGAGGGGATTTTTTCTTTTGAGAAGTAACTCATTGCAGGCTCCAAATCTCTGGTTGTTTAGTAGATGAAAAAAACCACCTACAGCAACTAGTGTTTCTGTGCTCATCAGTTACTGAAAGGCAAACAGACAAGAAGCCAATGGAGACAAATCCCAGCTCACCTTTTCACATCACAGCACAGGACAATCCCATGCAGCCTTGGTTCCCATCCTCACTGCTGTTGAGCTTTTTCATCCGGTACTGTCGGATCTCTCTCACCAGTGTGTAAAAAGCATCTTCCACACCCTGAATGCAAACAGGCCAGGTTAAGTATTTTCTTTCCAGAAGCTTTGGAAATTACTGATCTTTCCATCCCAGAACCCCTTAATGTACTTGAAAGCCAATTCTACAGGAAGAGCAGGAGCCAACTTATCCCATGGCTCCTAAGAGGATGAGACACTCACTTCTGTCCCAGACTCTGCCCTTACACTCCTGACTCCTCCTGGGGCAAACACAGAGTTAACAGCCATGAGAAGAATCATGGAAAACTCTAAGTGCAGGGAAGTTCCATGCAGGAAAAGCTACTTCTTAGAACCTAATTCTTTAGATTCTTTGCACCTTTCCTGCTTCATCCCCCTGCTCCAGGCAGAGCACAGCCTGCCTGGATGGAGCCACGTGCTCAAGGCAGCTCTGGAGAAGCCCATTAGTCCAGTCTGGGGAATTCTGTCTGCAAATTAATCTTCTAATTGACTTTCATTAAGAAGCCAAGAAAACTCAACAGGTCTGGGATGACTGACTGCAGTGTCTGACACTGCTCAGCAGGAGCAGGTGAAGCTCTGCTGCTCTTCTTGACCCACTTGAAAGGAAATCAGTACAAGTCTGAAGTGCTTTGTAAACTGTGAGAAACACAAAACTCTTCTGAGCTCCAAGTGAGTGGGGAAATAAAAGCTAAAAGCTGTAAAAAGATTAAAAATACTTATTCCTGTAGGTAAGAAAATGTAGATAAGAATATGTCTTCTTTTGCAGCAGGAAGGAGTCAGAGCAGGAGGATCTCACCTGTCTCGTTTTTGCAGAGGTCTCTATGAAGGGAATCCCATAGCTCTTTGCTAGTTCTTGTGCCTGTTTTGTGTCTACTGTTCTTGTGGGCAGATCACACTTGTTCCCAACTAGCACCATGGGCACATCATCCGAATCTTTCACTCTCTTGATCTGTTCTCTTCCGAAAGACAAATTGAACAACATTAGGAACTATTTCCTAAATATAAAAGCTGTTTTCATTCATTCTTCAAACCACCTTGTGCTACAGAAATATACATTACAGCTGGACAGGACCTCAGGGATTCAACCTATAGCAGGAGAGCCAAGAATTTGTACACTTCATTTTCTGGTGCATGTATAACTCCACCGTGTTTTTCTCACCCATTTCCTTGGGGAGCATGTTCTGTACACTCTAAATATCATCCAGTTCACAGTCACAGAACAGTTAGGGTTGGAAAGGACCTCTGGAGGTCATCTAGTCCAATTCCTGCCAGGGCAGGATCACCCAGACCAGGTGACACAGGGATGTGTCCAGGTGGGTTTGACCCCATGTCCTCTCTGGGCACCTGTTCCAGTGCTCTGCCACCTCCATGAAGGGAAGCTCTTCCTCAGGTTGAGGTGGAACTTCTTGTGCTTTAGTTTATGGCCATGACTCCTTATCCTGTTGCTGAGCACCACTAACCAGAGTCTGGTACTATCCTGACACACCTTGGAGATATTTATACGCACTAATGATATGATTAATGATCAATGTAACAACCCCAAAACTGTCTCATTACTAATTGACTAAAGAGGATGCTGAGGCATTGGCACAGGCTGCCCAGAGAAGCTGTGGCTGTTCCATCCCTGGGAGTGTTCCAGGCCAGGTTGGATGGGCTTGGAGCAAACTGGGCTGGTGGGAAGTGTCCCTGCCCAAGGCAAGGGATGGGACTGCATAAGCTTTATGTTCCTTCCAACCCAAACCATTCTTAGATTCTATGTATTGACACAAAACACTAACCAGACTGAAAATATTTGTCTGTTGTTTAGTCTTCACTGAGTCACTTCATTGCTTCACTTCAGCCAACAGATCTGGTGCCTCTCCCACTGTTCCCTCCCCTCCCAGGTGCAGCCCTAGCTGGTACCTGTAAAGGTTGATATCAGCGAAGGATTTGCTGTTGTTAATGGCAAAGACACAGAGGAATCCCTCCCCAGTCCTCATGTACTGGTCCCTCATGGCACTGTACTCCTCCTGCCCTGCTGTGTCCAGGATGTCCAGCAGACAAGTCTCACCATCGATCACTACCTGCTTGCGGTACGAGTCCTGCAGAGGGCACAAGGGAACAGGTCAGAGAATAGCAAAAATAAAGGAAAAATGAAAAGGAAAAAGGAAAAATGAAGAGAAGAGGAGCCAGGGGAGCTTTTCCAGCTCCTCTAGAGGACATTGTGGCTGCTCCATCCCTGGGAGTGGATGTCCAGCAGACAAGTCTCACCATCGATCACTACCTGCTTGCGGTACGAGTCCTGCAGAGGGCACAAGGGAACAGGTCAGAGAATAGCAAAAATAAAGGAAAAATGAAAAGGAAAAAGGAAAAATGAAGAGAAGAGGAGCCAGGGGAGCTTTTCCAGCTCCTCTAGAGGACATTGTGGCTGCTCCATCCCTGGGAGTGTTCCAGGCCAGGTTGGGTTGGATGTTCTATGATAAGGTGTCCCTACCCATGGCAGGGGGTGGAACTGGATGAGCTTTAAGGTCCCTCCAACCCCAACCAGTCTATGATTCTCACCCATCTCTGATACAACTCTACCAATATCTAAACCGACCCCATTTTAAACGCTACCCTAAGCCCCCTCAACCCATTCCACAAAAACAGACAAGTCCTGTTCTTTTAAAGAAACCCCTCAATTAATAAGACAGGAAAAAAAAAAAAAGGAGCGTTATAAATGCCAACACCGTGAGCACAATCCACACCCTACGCTGACCCGGGGGGTGATGCACACTCTGCATGGAGAGCCCAGAAAGAGGAGGGATCGCCCCAGACGCTGGGGCCGGGCGAGAGG